TCTAGACAGTACAGATAGAAGAGAAGAGAAAAATCTAGACAGGACAGTCAGAAGATTTGAGAAGAATCTTGACAGTTTGGACAGATGAGAAGAGAGATTTGTTTTTAAAAGTTTTGCAAAACTCGCAACACAAATACAGGGTGATCCAAAAAAAAACTTTACAACTTGTTTTTTAAATATCTTCCTCCATACTAAAGTTTTGCGTTTCAGATTTGAACATAACGTTGGGAAGCCAAACGGAATTGTCTGATATGTATTTTAGATAAGTCCATTGAATGGTTTTGCTCTATATAGCGCATTAAATAAACAACCCATTTTCAGCCTTGTCGCCATTTTCATAGCATGACGCACCAGTTCGTATTAGGCCTACCACTAAAAGTTGCAACAATCACGCCATATTGCAAGCTACAGCAGTCTAACAAGTCAACAGAAGTCTGCAGATATTATTTTTCCCATAAAATGTTTTCGCCTGCTTAGATCAGGGTTACGTTAAGTTAAGTGTAGAGAGCTTTTTGTATTGAACATTACTTCTCCACAAACTCCCATCCCTGACATTCCGTAAGTTCTGCGCACGGCATGGAGAGAATGCTTAGGTGCCCTCAAGAACTTTGGCGTCATGAGTAGAGAAGTTCCGTCAGTTTGGATCTATAGCAAATCAGAACTAAAAAGTTCTTTAAAACATGACCACTTCAGGTCGAACATGCACCATGCGCAGCCCTTTAAACGTCACCAGAGTGCAGATTTCAGTAGCCGAGTCCCATATGAGACGTCTGTCCATGGATGATCTGCAGCTAGGACTTTCCTACACATCAACGGTCTGCATTCTCATGGCAGATCTTAACCTAAGACATGTTCGCTAGGCCGAGATGACATGGATCAGGGCATGGCAATGTGTTTATGATTCCTCGATTGTCTTGTAAAGAGGGATCATTTCCTCGATGACATTTGGTTGAGTGTAAAGCCCATTTTCACCCTGCAGGATATGTTAACTCCAAAGATGCTGTCTATTGGGCACCCCACTCTATTGTCTCTAGAAGCCACTTCTTAGTGAACATGTACAGTGTATGTGGCTTTAAAAACTCATAGTTTAGCAGGTCCTCGTGTTAGGGCGCCACTGAACATTTCGAACGACACATTAAAAATGTTTCGAGTCCAAAGGAGAGAATGTGGAGCACTGCTTCTAGGAATTTCAGAATGAAATCATTAGGTTTTTTAAACTCTGTAAAGGAATTAAAATATTGTTTAAATGTCACAGGGGTGGAAAATTTGTGTTAAAGAGAAAATGAAGAAAAGGTCAACTAATCTTTTCACGACTTCCTTTACATGATTTTTAAACATTGGTGAACTTTGCGTTTTTGGGTGCTTTTTCTTTTAGCCGTTTCCGTTTTCAAAATATGTTTCTTTCTCGAATATTTTATATCAAACAAATTCCTTTTGAATGAATTATGTCTGTTCCAAATTACAGCATTCTAGAACAATTTTTGTGCGAGATATTCAGAAAAAAAGTTGCAAAGTTTTTTTTGGATCACCCTGTGGGTCATATAAATGCAAAAAAATAAGAGGTGTTACAAAAGAATAACATACAAAGAAAAGAAGGAGGAGAGATATGGACGATAGATGTTTGATAGGAAAAATGGAATAAACAACACCAGAGCACACTCAAAGAGATCCAACCAGAGATAAAAGAGGTGTTGAAACAAGCCACAGAAAAGATGAACATGCACCTCCATAAAAGTGTGAATACGCAGAAGGTAGAGAGCAAAGCTGAGTAGGATGCACATAGGATAGACAGAAGTGATAAGTACAATGTAGAGAAAACAGAAGGGAACACATCCCTAAAGTAATGTCTATAGAGAATATAGAGAGAACAAAAGATTTTCGACTGGATAGACAAAATGATCAGAAGGGAGGAAAGAAGATGAAGATCAGAAAAGGTGATAGAGTGATGGAAGTGAAGTACTCACCCATGAAGGTGCGGATGGAGAGAAGAGAGCGAAGACACCTCCCTCCTCATTACTTCCATCAGAGCCTTAAGGTCACGAAGCAGATCCGTGGACACATTGGGAGGAGCCTGAGAAACATACAAACAAGATATGCAAGACTCTTTTCCTGTTTCTTTTTAAAGGTAGATATGTGTTTTACGCCCATATCAATATAAGCACAACTGTTCAGTGATATGACTGTAAGTATGTAAAAACATGGCAAAATGAGTTACATATCACATTTTGACAATTTAACACAATGGGTACCAGACAAAAGATCTGGTCAATGTCCAACATTGTTACTTTGATCCTGCTCATCACATCAGCAAGCTTTTGACGCTTTACAAGAAATATTGCTAGCCGACCCCATAGACCGGATAGCATTCCGAAATAACCTCAATTTCCTGGGACGCACACAGTGCAAACTGCAATTTCAAAGTTGCTGAAACATTAATATGTTGAGAAGATCCTTTGCTGTTTGAGGGCCGTGTATCTATTCACACCTGGGTGACAGGAAAATTTGAGTACAGTGCCTTCCCTCAAGAAACACAACATTCAGCAAAAACAGTATTGGTGAAGCTGCTTTGGTTCTTCAGTTATATTCATTTGAAGTTTGGGAGTCAGAAACACACAATTTTGAGAAATTGAAATTTTAACCAATACATAAAATCTAAAAACACCTTTGTGTGACAAGCAAATTGTTGCGTTATGTTGCTACACAAATGGTATACATCCCTATCAATACAATTTAGACTCGCTTTCATTAAGCCTGTCAAGGCCAACCCCAGTTGTTTGGTACAAATCCTCAGAGAAAAGATGGGGAACATTTAATTAACAATTTGCAGTCACACAGCCAGCAGAATAAAATACCCCCCATTTATCTGATCACCCAGCCAGGAGAGTGACTGCAACAGACTTCTCCGGCCTGTTGCAGAACTGTAACAAGTGACCGGATCAAATCATTTTTACCCTCGCATAATTGCAGCAAGTGACCACAAAGTGTTAAATAAAATACCTTCCAAAACTGTGAATTGAACTAACATCTTTTGTATCTTTCAAAGTCAAAGTCTATATTTCAATTGTGAAAAAAATGGTGAAATGGTATGGGTGTAACGCCCCAATCAACACT